AGGGGGGTGGGGGTGGGGAGAAGGTCAAAAGAGAACTGCCAAGGACTGATCCTAGGGGACACAAACATTTCAGCGTGGGAGAGAAAAAGGAGCCAGTGGAGGTAAGAAAGCATCAGAGATATGGGAGTCCCTAGAAATAGAAGAGTCAGAGAAGCTAATGGTGGGCCCAACAAACCAAAGGTGCCTCATACCAACAAGATCAAGGACCAACCAGACAGCCATGACATTGGGTGGTTAAAATTGATCCAATTACCTTTCAGAGGGCAGTTTCAATGGGGAGGATTATCAAGATAATATCAAGATGATACAACAAACGTAAGCTACTCCTTCTATTTGGTTGGCAGTCAAGACGGTGATTTGGGAGGATAACAGGAATAATATTCAAATTTTTTTATATTAAGGGTATTCTGTGTGTGTCTATAAACAGAAAGGAAAGTGACAGAGATTCAAGAGACAGAAGGGATATTGTGAGAAGACTGGAAACAGATTGTTTGACTCATTTCATCTGTGACACAAGCTCAAAGAGGGCTTAGAAGGAACACCAGCACACGCTGCATGTCCACAGAATACTGGATATTGAACGCTGTGGGCATCCACACTCATGCACACGACAGCAATCACCTAAGTCTTTAAAAGTGGCCACAGTTGGTAAAAGTGAGCACAGCTATGTTCTCCACCGTGACGTTGCTACGTCCCTGCGCGTTTGGGTGGCTTCCCTCAGGACTCCTCCCCTGGGGGCTTAGCACCAATGTGGCATCAGCCAGGCATTCACTACAGGATCTTCCATGGTCCCATTTTTCTGAATGTGTCTCTCATCCCACACACCAGGTGAGGCTGGTCCCACTGCGTGTGGCATGGTCAGCACTGAATCGCCTCCCTCAGTCGTCCTGGGTAATGAAAACCTCTCCTGCTCGTATCGGTTATGTCCATTATGGAGCATCTTACAGACCACTTTCTCTTGTCCATAGATTTATGTTCTACAATCAACCAGAACTTCATACTAAAACCCTACAATAAACCCATCACCAGTAACTCATAACGTCTCAAAACTATGTTGCCTCATGGATACTTCTTCCCCTGATTAAAAAAAGAAAGGTATTTTCCTCCAAACCGGTGGACCCAGCTGAGGAGATAACAGGGTTTTGTGCAGAATCATCACCAGGATCCTATTACCCTCTCTAGCAACAAAGCTTGTCCCCCTGGAGTAGGGCAGGGGTGGGGGTGGGGGGGGCTGAACACAGGAGGATAACCAGGGGCATCTCCAGAGCTTGACAAAGTGACAACAGCCAAAGGAGGGAGATGCTAGACGCACGGAAGTGAATAGGGGCATGGTGGACACAGTGGCAACAGGGAATAAGCTGGGTGGAGGGACAAGAGGCCAGACTGAGACGAGGTGGCACGGAGGGGGAAGGGACATTTGCTCCTCGGAGAGACTGATGGCTGAAGGAGAGCAGAGGTGGAGACCTGGAAATGTGAGGCCGGAGTGTCAAAAGGGTCTTCACTGGGGACACTGAGGCTACAAAGGATAGCAGGAGGAAACAAGAGGGGAGACTGGGCACAGAGCAGAGAGCTGGGAGCTGCAGGCATAGACGCAGCCGGCTGGCGAGGAGCCTGGAGCAGAAGCTGCTGTTGCGGATGGCAGCAGTGTCCCGAACAACAATATGGGGACGAAAGATCCCTCAGGCCCCACGACCCAGGCGGCCGACAGAAGTCACACCCATGAGAGAGACAATGGTTACCTACAGGCTGAGCAGGAAAGGAAGAACAGGAAAAGGAAAAGAGAAACTTGAGCCCCTCAGGAGAGAATGAAAAAGAGAAAGGGAGAGTGTTGAGAAGACACAACAGGGAACGAAGAATCAAACCCAGGTAGGACTGCTGCCTCTGCAGTGGATTTTACGAGACTGAAAGCATAAAGATGGGAGCTTATTAGACAAAAGAGACAGGGCTGTAGCCTGGCACATGAGCAATCAATGTGAACTCTTTGGACAATTCGACCCCAACACTTCCAGGTCTGCACATGCTCTCCTTGACGTCTTTTCTTCTTAAGCCTTTTCCTTCCACAGCATCAGGCAGTTTCCAAAGCAGCAGAGAGGGTGTGGCAAGAAAGCAAGGGAGATCGTGTGGAAGGTCCGCATTTCAGGAAGGTGAAGAGGAAGACAGGCTGTTAAGACCTACCCACTGTGGTCCATGGGTGGTGGTCAAGGTCAAGGCTGGGAAGGGGGCAGTTTGCAGTGTCTCCTCTACCAGCCAGCACCTCCCCAGTGGCTCCTGCAAAGTCCCATCCCAGACAGTGCCCCCCCCCCGCCCCCCGCCGCCACAATTAAGCCTTCTCCATCCCAGCTTCCCCCACATTGGCCCCTCCCTTCAGGTGCCTTATCTCTGCCCAAACCAGTCTGACAAGTGACTTCAGAGCAGGCCTCCTAAAAGCCCCTCCCCTTCCATCAGGTAGGTCTCAGTTCAAATGTCACCTCCCCAGGATGGCCTCCTCCCCACCAGCCCCTGAACTTGTTTTCTCTGCTTCCCATCCCTGTGACCACACCCCCGGATGATCATGCCTATCTGATTGCTGGCTCCTTGTCCACATCCCATGCCAGAAAGCAAGCTCTATGAAGACCAGGAGTACGGCCCCAGCACTTGGCAGAATACAGAAGAAAGTGATGCGCACTTGTGAAATGAATGTACAGCCAGGGCCCTGCAGTACAGAGGCGTTTGGTGCCACGGCGGATCCAATGGGGTCCTGCTCAAGTCTTTCACTGTCACCCTGAAAGCCTCCCGCTCTGCCCTGCAGACACCTAGCCTGGGCCAGCTCTCACTGACCGTGTGATCTACTCTAATCAAATGAAAATACAGAGCATAGCTGCCCTTGCTACCACTAAAAGAAAAGTCTCCTCTTCACCATTAATCAGCAAAATAGAGTTGAAAATTATTCTTTCCTGAGGGAGGTTTAGAGTTCCCCGAGCAATGACGGTGAGGAGGGGGCACAGCGTTTCTCAGGAACAGGCATACTGCAGAACTGTGCAGGAAGGCCACAGGGCTGATAGCCTTCTTTCCCTCGTTCCCCTCGTTCCAGGGAGCACTTTATACACAGGTGTCTGCTGGCTTCGATGAGGCACGGGAGGAGCCCTCAGTTGCGGCCCGCAGTGCCACCGTGAGGACGCCCGGGGAACTGCTTCGTGTTGGTCTGCACTCCGTGAACATTCCCGAGGCAGGAGAAAACCAATTACTGCTAATCTCTGGCCACGGTGGGCTCCTGGCAGAAAAAAATAGTTACAACTTCATGAGGGAATTCTGAGACCAGCGACCCTCCTGTCTGGGCATTTGACCAAAACGGTAAAACCAAGAACGTGGTTTTAATTCCAGCTTTGTTTACAGCCTGTGTCCTTGAAAGGACACCTGCTTGCCCCAACACACCATCTCCAGGTGTGAACAAGAAATAACGTCATCAACCTCTCTTAGAGGATTCTTCAGGGAATGGGGCACAGAAACAATATCTCATCAATACAGCATATTAAGCAAAAAGATGCCAGACCACCTGAATCCACTTTGGGTTACCAGAGCTTAGAAACCTCTACACACATACCGTCTAGACAGAGGGAAAGAAACGGATCAAGCATGTAGCATGCAAAGCAGAACCATCTCCTCAACTCAGTCAGCCGATACAAGAAACAAAATCAAATACGGGGCATGAAAAATGAGCTATTTCTCTTAGGTAGCCAAAAAAATCCATTTTATATTGTCTGTTCCAATTATATGTGTTTGAAAAAGTAGGGTAAAAACAAGCCTTTTGTTTAGGTATGATCCTTCAAATAATTTAAGTGTGTACTTCAGGAGAATTCCAACATAAATTCCACAAACATAGTGCGTAAGAAAAATATTCCAATTGAGAAACAGGTTAATATTACATAAGAAACCTAATTACATGAATATAATTTATACAAGAAATAAAAATGGTGAATATGAAAAACGTATAATCTCCAGCTAACTAAAGAAATTCAAGACAAAATAACATTTCTCTATCAAGGAAACATAACACCAAGAGAATCAATTAAAGTTGATTCACTGGTGAGAAAATAAACTAGTACACTTTCTAGAAGGTAATTTGGCAATATTTCTATAAATCCTTAAAACTGCATAGGATTTTTTGACAAACTATACAATTATGGGAGTTCATCTTATGGAAGTAAAGATAGAAGGAAAGAGTCAGTTGCAAGCACCATGTGTAAAAGGAAGTTTGGAAAGATCCCGATGTCTAACCACGGGAGATTTATTAAACAGCTGTATCTACTCAATGGATGACTATGCAGCCATTAAAAAGTATGTCAAATGTCTTTATGGACCCAAAGATGTTACTGTAGTATTACATAGGAAAAAGCTAAGTAACTAAAACAAAACAAAAATGCATTTAAGATCCAATTTGGCAACTATGTATTTACTTATATGTGTATCTAGACAGATAAATAGCTGCACAGCAAAGAGATGGAAACAAGGTACTCAAGATGACAGAGGCTCTCTGTGTAGCTGATACTAGGGGTGTTTTGTTAAATTTTTTCCTTTTTATTTTTATTTTCTGAGATTACTACAATAAAATATACTGCTTAAGTAACTAAAAAAAGAGTATTTCTTAGACTGAAAAAAAAAAAAAAAAATTCCAAAATAAACTTGAGAGAGCCAAAGCAGGAAGAGCAGCAGAGCAGGCAGGATAACGGAGCACCGAAGAGGTGGACCCACATCACACAGGCCACCCACCTCTGCCCCGGAGAAGGCACCTCAGTGTCTCAAAGCTCTGTCCCCAGCCCCCATCAGAAGGTATACTTGGAGGGAAGGTAGAACAAGTGACATTTCAAGAACACTGCCCATGTTACTTGGAGAATATAAAAGGCAAAGATCTTTAAATGGGATTTAATTATATAGCCATGCACCTAGGTAGTTTCCCCCTGGGAGAAGAGACACCAAACCACTGGATGAGAGAGTCAAGAATTACATTTGGAACGGCCACAAGAGAGATTCAGCAATTTTTTTTATTAAATTCACCTTATTCTGGGGTCAATTATCAAGATTCTATTTGCAATACATACTGCTTAAAAAGGTATGTTAAAAAATATTCAGTGTGAAAAACATGGCTATAAAATACAGTATACATTATATAAACCCAAAGTGTATTCCACATATCTCAACATCACAAATTAGAACACCTTCAGTCTCTCCTTCTCCAGCTCTTTTGGACCAGAGAGTCAAAGCCACTCCATAGTAACGCCAGCAGCACTTCCGGAACACAGCCTCAAGCCGTGTATCTTCTCTCTCCTTCGTGTTTCGCCTTGTGGTATTTCACATAATCATTGTACAGCTCCTTAAAGATGTCTCTCACCCCCGGCTGCAGGGAGACCCGCAGGAACTGGACGTCTGGTTCAATGCAGAGGTCCAGGATGAGGTAAATGCCCTCCTGCAGAAGGCCCTTCACTGCCGGATACAAGGTGACCTGTCAAAGGACATGCCCTCTGTGAGAGCAAACACACAGACCAAGCCCTCCGAAGACCTGACAAGGAGTTTCAAGTTCGGCCCCCAACTTGAGAAAAGACATCCCTTTTAAATTATCATTTTGCACAGAAATAAATATTTGTATCTTAAAAGTTTGTGTTTTAGGGAAATAAAAGCCAACTCGAGTGACAAAAGCCTGGAATAAAACCTCACAAAATCACAGGGGTAGCTCTGCTATTTGGTGAATGATGCCTAGCAGGGGCATTTAAAAACTGGAATCTTTAAACTTACAAATCTTATGAGAGCCATCTGCACACTGTGCCAAATCCTTCGCCATGACCAATCGCATGGGAAGCTGCACTAACATGGGATAAGGACAGCAATGTTCACTGTGACTGACTCCCCCCGCCCCCTGCCAGCAAGGCAGGCGGCCGGGTGGGCTCCAACACTCCGCAAACGGATCTTTGATAGGCCTATATTAGTAATTAGATCATATCATATCCAAACAAATCGGATGTGATTTATGATTACCCTTAATACATCTTTTTATTTCTATCAACAACAGCTCAATGGGACCTGAATTTCTAACTGCCCCTGAATGGCTGAATCGGTTCTTGAGACTAGAGATGTCTTTCTTCCCTTTTTCTCTTCTGGGTTAACTAAAACCTGGGGAACAGAAGGAAGAGTGGGCAGTCTGGCTCCAGCTGGGCTGTACTGGTGGATATTGCGCACAGACTTTCAGATCAGAGATTCAGACTACTGTCTAGACAAAAAGACTGACAGAGCAGGCTGTACACGCATCTGCCACAACCATTCAGGTTGCAGCTGAACCTGGCTCTGAACCGTCTGAATACCCCAGGAGCTGAAACCAAAAAGCAACTGGAAGGTTCCGGCAGACAGGCCAGGGATTTGGCAGATTCTTTATTAATGTCTTAAGGGCCTACAAGAGTGAAAGCCCCTCTGCAAACACGTAGCTTCTGGGGAGGATATATGGTATTCACTTGGAGAAGTCGGATTCACCAAAGCAACCCCTGGGAGGCCTGTACCTAGACAGGCAGTCTGTTTCTGTCACTAAGATGGTGCTGTTTTTCAGTTACAGTCATTTTCACATGAGAGCTCAAAAAATTTCTGACAATGATCTTAACTTTTACTGTTTATAGATGATAAGAACACTCAAGGACTGAAGGTGGAACTGTCTGTGATTTCAGCGGAAAGCATTAGAGAAGGAAGGAAAAATAAAACAAAACAAAAAAACAAGTATGTCCTGAATCTTACCAGCCAGGTGAGGACCCTGTAAGCTGACCACTCATTTATTCATCTAATCAGCACTCACTAAACAGATAACTCCACTTCCAAGAGCAAAGGAGCGGAAGTAACTGTCTCAATGACAGCACGGAGAGCTGAAGCCCGCCAGTCAGAGGCCAGGGCCCATGAGCTCCACCATTCCCTCACACGGGGGCTCCTCAGTCGAAGGACGGTGCCGAGCACACAGCCCTGCTGGGTCACAGGAAGGCCTGCAGTATCTGGCCTACACAACCACTGTGCATCTTTATGTTTCAGCCCACTTATTTATAAAACAAAGGGGAAAAACTCAGTTTCTATGACACTAAGATCACCAACCAACGAATGAAAACATCTCTAAGTAGCATAAAAGGACCTTACACAGGACAGGCAGTACAAACTATTTACTCTAGGCTGTCAACATAGATAGATGTAAGTTTGATCTATGGATGAAAGAGACCAGTGCCCAGGATTTCCCCTGGCACATCCCCACCGTGACACATTACTGCATGGAGGGTACAAGGTCTGTAGGGAGTCACTGCGTGTCCTGCCTGATGTTGTCTCACCAGGTCACTGCCAGACCTTCACCCATACCCACTCCACAGGACTACCAGGAGATTGCAAAGGAGATTCACTTAGCTATCTAGCATTTAATTAAACTTACAAATGTCTTTCCGGTCTGGAAATATTTCCAGTTCTCAGGAGAAGCCTCTAATACGTATGGAATATTTTCTTCATTACTGAGTTAAAAAACAAATGAAAGATAAAACATAGACTCTTGCCAATGAATTCTGGGATGCTACAGCCTTAGATAATTCCCAAGGCCTTTGACTTGCAAGATTAAAAATAAAAAAATAACTGAGAAGCATAAATTAGACATGAATAATGAAGCCAGGAAACCAGAGACTTTTCATAAAATAAATCTCAGAATAATAGTTAGTGACTTAAGGGTTCAAATTATCACCTCTTTTCTTGGCCCTTAGTTAAGTGATATTACTATCTCTCATTTTATTTTTCACTGAAACACAAAATAATGCCAGCTTTTCTTTCAGCAAAGGCTTACATATCAATGACTTGAGTGCCTGTGAAATACCAAGATTCTATAAAAACGCTAAGAAATTCCAAGGAAACCAAACACGAAGCCCATCTTTCATTCAAAGGCTGACTTGAAGGGGTCCTCACATGTTGCCCCCACCCCTCCACACACCATGCCTTGTGAGGACCCCGTGCATACCCACGGGGCAGGGTGCATCCTACAGCCCCACCCCCACCCCCCACCCCAGCCCTCTCAAACCTGGCCAAGTGCCCACCCACATGACAGGCATCTGCACTGGCTGAGGCAAGCAGGGCCAGCATGCCTGAAAATTATTTAAGAGTTCTAGATTCATCCTGAAAGAGGGTCAGAATGAAAATGGATGCAACACCAGATTTTCTGAGAAAGCTCATTCAGCTCAATCTCCCTTGAGAAATCTCTTAACGTAACAAGTTTACCAGCGATTTTAACATTATTCTTACAAGATTTACAAAGGAGGGCTATTCTACTAAGAGCAACATAAACAACACAGATGTATATATCTACACCTGCAAAAATAGATACACACAGAAACATACTGTACTCTAAGCCTCTGACATTCAATTTAAACCAAGTAAGATATGAAGTCTTCACTTCAGGGGTCACACAGGGTCTTGTGGAATTTTGGAAATAACATGCTAACATTCCAAAGTGAGACCACTGCTGAACAATGAATTAATTATCCAGAATATGAAATCAAAGAGTCAGGTTAAATAGGACAAAGATACTTTTGTTTAAAGGAGCTGAATGAATCTGCCAGTATCTCTACCACGTCATCTACTTTGAGTGTCTGAGAGCAGCTGACTCACACGCACGATGCACTCCAAGAGGATAAACCAAGGAACTCCTGCTGTTGGGGGTCCCAAGACCCTTCTTCCTCGTCACCATTAAGCCTAGCCCTAGGAGAGCTCCTGTTCTTAAACCTGGGAAGCATTTCAGCTCGCTCATTACTCCAGAAACTGACCAAAACAGGCCCCAGAGCTTGTGCTGCAGCAAGAAGGGAGAGCTAGCTGTCACGGAGCGCCTTCTAGGTACCAGGCACCACCAGCCCTTTGAATGTCGCCTCACTCAGTCATCCTGCTAACCCTGCAGGGCTGCTGCGGAACCCTGCAGATGGGCAGGACAGCCTGCTATGATGCATGGTTCGGGACCATCAGGCCCAAGATATCGCGTGCCACTATGGTTGAGAAGCCCTGCTACCAAGGACTACAAATGAAAGCACTTGGTGAGAGGGGGCAAGCTGTTTACCTTCTGCACCTCCGTGACATACTGGGCCACCATAAAGGGGGAAAACACCGTGAACTCTTCGGCCCGAGCTGCAATGTGGCTGTACATCCTTTCCACCAGGCGGGCACACTCAAGGACCACCGACAGATCATCTGTGCTTCCTATGGAAGCAAAGTGTTTCCAAACTGATTAGTCCAAAACCCATGCATTTTAACCCTTCTAACTTTATACATTTAATACAGCTGAAAATTATTCAAGTCTTCCCTTTTTCCCAGACTCATTAATTGTCTTATTCCACAGACAATGAGGGAGAGATGTCCAAATATTTATCTGTATTACAAAGGAAAGAACACTTAAAATACTCGAATATGTGTGTTTTTTTAGGAGTCTAGAAGAATCAAAAATTTTAAGATGAAATCTATGATTGCTCTGTATTTTAAAAAAAGGTGGAGGTGTATAAGAAAGGTTTAAATTAGAAAATTATCTTTAAAAAACATGTTTTTTTACATCATAGGACTTTAAAGATAAGATGGCCTACTTATACCTTTGCCTCCTTATGTTTCAGATATCATGCAGGCAGACAGATACAAGACTCAGATATAAGACTTCTTAAAACCTTGAATATATAAACATGTTACATATATGCAATTTTTCTAGATACCATATAATTTTATGAAATTATATAAATTTCTAACACTCACTGGACATTTCAAAAGGCAAGTACTTTAGTGAAGCACTTGAATATCTACTCTGTACCATTTTCTTCCCTCTTTTCAGAGTGCTCAGCACATATATGCAGTTCAGTGAATACCTGGCATTTATTATTTCAGCTACACAGTTAATGTGTGGTTATTAAGAGTGCATTAGATACCAACAAGAAGAGTAAACAGTTAAAACTCTACTCAGTTAAGCTATGAACACATCAGAGAACTGAGTCTTGGCAGATGGGAGGTAACTGAGCTGCACCAACATGGACACAGCAGAGCCACGCTCGTGAAACATGCCCCCACACTCCCTCAGGACACACGACAAAGGACACGTGTACAACTACACATGGGACACGCCTGTGGCAGCGTGTGACAAGGGCTCTGCTCCCCCACTGCTCAGCAAGGGCTGGACCAGAGCCTTCCCTACACTGCCATTTCCCATCTCCTGTCCAGGCAGACATCACTAGTAAAAACAGGGATTCTTCTTGCTGAGCTCAAACAGGACCACAACCTTAGGGGCCTCAACACAATGCTACAGCTAGCCACCACCAACTGACCAAGGCTAGCTTGGGAGATGGAACCTGTTTCCCTACCCTGTTCCTAAACATAGTCACAATTTTACACTGACACCAATATTACATCGCTCTGCACCAGGCCTGGGAGAAAGCAAGAGACCTCATTGTGCCACTGACTGATCTCAAAACCAGGCAGAATAATTTGGGAATTATAGTCCAGTGTTAACTATACCTTTTCTCTTTTCTCAATAGTTACTTGGTTTAAGTAGCGTAAATCTACAAGTCCGAACCCATCAAAGTGGTTCACTCAGCGGGGAGCGGGGCTGAGTACCACTCATATGTTTCCAGTTAGTCCAGAACTGCTGCCACAGGCTCTTCCTGGACACCCTCCAAGCTGAGTTATAAAGCCCTCCTTGTTGGTCCCAGAGCATTCCATCAGGTACCACGCTATGCAAATTTGAAACAGCACAATATAGACCACCTCAATTTATATGCAAATTTTTAAATAATGAGACTCTCCCCCAAATTAGAAATTTAGCAAGAATCAACAACCTTCAAGGCTGAAAACAAGCTGTACACATAATTTATGCTATCACCATATGGCAGCTCACTTCACTGGTAAACAAACACAACCTTGCCAAGATAAGACTGAAATGATGACTTGCCAGACCTCATCCCTTTAATAAAATGAAATAGCTCTGTAACTGCCCGTTCTTCTTTAACTTCCCCATCAAACTAGGAACTCCTTTAGGGCAAGAACGGAATTGTCACTTTATTTTTTTTTTAATTTTATTTTTTTAAAGATTTTATTTATTTATTTATTTGACAGACACAGCGAGAGAGGGAACACAAGCAGGGGGAGTGGGAGAGGGAGAAGCAGGCTTCCTGCCGAGCAGAGAGCCCGATGCGGGTCTTGATCCCAGGACCCTGAGCTGAAGGCAGACGCTTAATGACTGAGCCACCCAGGCACCCCTTGTCACTTTATAACCCCTCTACATGAGAATAAACATTTCCTGAATCTAGATACTTTTTCCCCCCGCCCAGGAAAAGAACTATTTCAATTAGAAAATCACAAATGCACTCACTGTTTTGGACATAGCAAAAAAAAAAAAAAAAAAAAAATGGTGACAGCTTGAAATTTTTTAGAAAATTGTTTTGGGTATTCATTTAATGATCTGAACATTTCTTACTTAAACTCAACTGAGTGGTTTTATTTTCTGTAACATAGGAGGCCGGAGACATCATAAGATAAACACATTTGAAATCATGTATCTGATACTGTCACTTTGAATTACCTTTGTCTTTCTGCCTCCCTTCATGCATAACTGAAAACACCAATCTATTGAAACAGTTCAAGAAGGAAGGAATGGCTTTCAGCATCACCTGTAATAATAATAGAAAAAAAGAATATAAAAACATGTAATTGCTTATTTCAAGTTCTACTTTATTTTTTTAAACTTTTATTTAGGGGCGCCTGGGTGGCTCAGTCGTTAAGTGTCTGCCTTCGGCTCAGGTCATGGTCCCAGAAGTTCTGGGATTGAGCCCCACATCGGGCTCCCTGCTCAGCGGGAAGCCTGCCTGTCCCTCTCCCACTCCCCCTGCTTGTGTTCTCTCTCTCGCTGTCTCTCTCTGTCAAATAAATAAAAATCTAAAAAAAAAAATAAACTCTTATTCAAATTTAATTAATTAACATATAATGTATTATTGGTTTCAGAGGTACAGGCCTGTGATTCATCAGTCTCATATAATACCCAGTGCTCATTACATCACATGCTCTCCTTAATGCCCATCACCCAGTTACCCCATCCCTCCACCTCCCTCCCCTCCAGCAACCCTCAGTTTGTTTCCTATGATTAAGAGTCTCTTGGTTTGTCTCTACTTTAAAGGAGAGCATGTTTATTTCCTTCTTAACCATATCTATCAGGATGCTCAAAACAGCGTGGCAACTTCTTTTTGCCTGAACTTTCTAGGGAAATAGCTCACCCACCTTACTTGACTCTTTAACATTTGTTTTAATGGTTTGGGATAGGGCTTCTAACTTTAGGAATCTAATGGAGTGATCTCAGTTTAGAATCCGCTTAATCTGTTACTATAAGCTATTACGAGTGCATTCTGGAAATGGGTAGAAATAAACAACAGAAGCAACAATAGCAACATATTCAAGTGTAATTGGCATTAGAAAGAGGTTACATTAAGCAAATCCATTTCAAAGAAGGACCCAAACTTCTCATTTTTTAGTGATGAAAAGGTCTGGTTGGGTTTTATCTTAAAGAATAATATAAAAATTTTAAAGTATGTTTCTTTTATATGCAACCACCTTTTAGATCATGATCAAAACAACACACTACCCAATAAAGCAGCCATGAGCTACATGAGGTTACTTTAACTAAAATTCAGTTCCTAGTCATACAGCTCCTAGGCCACATTTCAAGTGGTCAAGACACGTGTGGCCTGTGATTACTGTGCTGGACCATACAGACACAGACTATATCCAACAGTGCTTTAAAGATCTACTGGCCAGTCCTGCTCTTTTCTCAGAATTCTCAGAATGAACAAAGACTAAATCAAGAGTTGAGATTTTTTCCTTTGGTATAATTTATCCAACCAAATTCCTGATAGCATAACATCCCGTTCTTCACATCAAATTACTGACATCCACAGCATGCTCTGAAAGAAGTCATTTTTGCAAAAGTATTCCAGAGCTTCATCAAACTTCCTAAGGTCCCCTCGTAAGCCTCTGCTATCATATTGATTAAAAGCACACAAATCCAGAGCCAGACTATTTGAGTTCACACCCTGGCTTAATATGGCACCAGCTGCTGATCGTTCTGCTGGGTACACTGACTGAACGGACCTCATGCTATCCCCTTTAGATTTACCTAAGCAGATTCTAGCCTGGTGCTTTTATCAACTCAACTATGCACAGGGCCAACAGTGTGATCATGCACCACATGGGGCCCCTATCCCCCACTCTAACCCACAGACAGTGAGTGGGAGTGTGATTATTAGTCACATCATTCTTTATTGCAACCACCATGTCATTATCCCTGTCAATTTTCTCCTTTCATTAAATTGTCTAATTCTGCTAAATGGTCATTTGTCAATGGTTCTGCAGGAGATTCCCACAGCTTTCTAATATTACTTTTCATCAACTGCATGAAATCCTGCATCTTTTGCAAGATGGGCAATTTCAGTTTGTAATTGATATATATTGCATTTATATTGTATGGTCACATAAAAATCTAACAATCAACAGAGAGATTTAAAACAAAGATGCTCACAAGATAGGCAGGGCCAAAGGCACTGGAGTGAGGCCCAGTGTCATAAGTGCTTAGTTTACCAGACAATAAATTTTTTAAAAATGGCACTGCTATCAGGTCTCTACCTTGAGAACATTAAAACACTTAAAAATATTTGAATGTGCCTGTGTATATGTGTATATATCTTATTTATGACATCCCACGCATCACACGTACAGCAGTGGTGCAGCGGAAAGAACATGAACCAAAGAATCAACAGTCCTGAAGCTAAGATTTAGACTCAGCTAGGTGGCATTGGTCAAATCACTTAGCAGCTCTGAGCCTCAGTTTATCAATAAAATGGACTACCATCTACTTTACAGACTTGCTGTAGGGGTGAAATGAGACACATAGCAAATGTTCAACAGATGGCAGCTGAATCTTTTCTGTGGGACAATTATTCCTACTCAGTTCAATTTCAAAGGTAGCATACTATAAAACTGGAACTCAGGAAGCCTCACTCCCTACACCCATCTGAGTTATAAACCCATGAAGACATCTAAGCAAATGAGTGAGATTTTAAATGTGTGGTCTGCAAAAACAGAACAATTTGTAATGAGCTTCCTTAAATAGCTAGTATACAAACACTAAGTGTCAGATCCAACAAAGATGAAACTCAAACAGCCTGATGTGAAGATCAAACATTTTTGTGCTTGAGAAACCACTGTGACCCTGGACATTACTGGAACCAAAAAGTGTGCTTAGCAAATCACTGTTTTTATTATCTTCCAATAGTAAAGCTCTACTGCTGCTGAAATTACCCTGCCTCATGCCTTGCTCCTCCTCCTCACCTTCGGATGACACTGCAGGATGGAGAAGAGCACATTGTGTATCCGCAGAAAGATGCTCCCATACTCAGGGGGCTTCAGGTGGTCCAAAGGGACTGTCAGCAGGATGCTGAAGGCCAGGCTGACATGGTGCGGGTTGCTGATGGTCTCCTCCCCCTGTCGAAGCAAGGCTGCCAGGACGTCCAAAATAGGCCCCACAACCGCCAGGGGCACAGGCTGTTCCTGACAAGCCTCTCGGTTTTGCAGCTACAGGAAAAGAAGGAACAAAGGAAAGAAAATGAAGGCGATTCTCTAAAGAAAGAATATAAAAACTGAAGTAGACAAAGGTAAGAATGTCCAAAATGTACTTATGCGGTCAGAAAGCACTTTGAAAAAAAAAGGCCAGTGTTCAATCTCTGAAGGCAACCTACTGAGGACTTGGCCATTTTGGTCCATGCTTTTTGTTGGACTCATCAACCACGAAGAGAAAGAACTTCTTACAAGAGTTGACTCATCCAATTTCTCAGAACAGGAAAACTTCACATCAGACATACATAACAATATTTTCCCAAAAAGATGATTAGCTGTAAGTATCTATAATTAAAGTTCATTTGTTACATTTCTTAAAAATCAGCTCTAGGGACACCTAGGTGGCTCAGTCGTTAAGCATCTGCCTTCAGCTCAAGTCATGGTCCCAGGGTCCTGGGATCGAGCCCCGCATCGGGCTCCCTACTCCACGGGAAGCCTGCTTTTCCCTCTCCCTCCGCCTGCCGCTCCCCCTGCTTATGCTCTCTCTCTCTCCAACAAATAAATAAATAAGACCTTTAAAAAAAAAATCAGCTCTAGTTAAGATATTCAATTACTGTTCTAGAGAATAAAGAGAACAGGCTCAAGATGAGGGCTAACTCAAAGTTCTACCCCCCTAACCTGGGAGAGCTCACCTGTCACCCTCGTCCTCAGGCTACAGGTGTAAATAGCAGCCCTGATGCAGCCTGCTGGGGCCTCACACAGCACTCCGGTGGCCTGGGGACTCCCAATTGTGCTGACTTCATGCTGGTAAATCTACTTTTAGATTTACCTATGTGGTTTCTAGCCTACTGTCTCTATTAATGCAGCCCTACTGTGCACACCACCGACACTGATTGCCTAACACATGAGTCCCTCTTCCCCCCCCCCCCAATTCCCTGCACTCTTCCTCCTGACACCTACTACACACACCAGGGAAAGATGAGATTCAGCCACTAATGCAAATTCCCAGGAAAACAACAAAGCAACAAAACAGAATAGGAGGGAACAATATGTTTACCCCTTAGGTCCTTCTGCCCTGAGAAGATGCTAATCCAGGGCAATTCTCTCAGGTGGCACAAGTGAATTAAAGCTGATAATCATGGTAAAGTAGATACTGATCTTTCAAACCCAAGTGCAAGAATACTGACTGGAGACTCTCCAGATGGCAAAAACACTCAGACAGTCCCAGTCAAAACTAGGTTTTTGTGCTAGTCAAACAAAAAGTCATGTGACTACCATGTATATTCACCAGGTGCCAAAATTTAACAATTGGGTTAACAATTCAACAATAATCTATCTGCAACATTACTGTCCCATTCTATAAAGCCATTCTTTTCTCACTATATCATAGATTTTAAACATATACAAGCCCCCTACAAATGAACAAATGCACTAAATTGACCACAGAATTTGGTGGGGACAAAAGAAAGCCCCAGAATTCCTTCTCATCTCATCTACATTCAACGGGCTTCCACATGAGCCCCATCTTATCACTGCACGCCTCCTATTACTGCCTGCCTAATGCTTCCCGGGCTCCTCGACACCCCCTCACACCACCTCTCCATCACATCTGGAGCTGACACCAGCGTTTGCAGACACACAAAAGCACATACAGTACACACACTGACAGAAAAGCATCCTGCCGGCAGCCATCATCAGGACGGAGTGCCTAGAAACATACTCTGCATAAAACCAGAGATGGCAGAAGCCAAAATGCAGCCTTTTGTCTGCAGAGGAACAGGGATGATGAGATGAAGCGAGATGAAGGGCACCGCCCAAGGGTACTCACAGTGAGAGCCGTGACTATCTGGGGGCACGCACACCAGAACAGACTCGCTTTCTCTCCGCCGAGTGGGCAGTTCAGGAGCAACCTGGTCAATGTAACAGCTGACAAAATGGCCTGAGAGAAAAGGGATAAAAACTTAGCAGAAATAGCTAGCTCTCTCTTAAGAAGTCCATCTTGGGAAGAAACCCAGTCACTGGTGCTAAAGAGAGAGAGCAGAAACCATTAGAACCCTGGTGTCGGGGCATGGACAAGACCTGGTTTGGGCTCAGTCCTGAGGGTGAGGACCCTTCCACCACCAGGCAGACAGGAAATAAATGCATAAGATGAGCAGAACTGTGGCCAAGGGGGAGGCCTTTTCAGTAGCATCTCACTAAACCAAGCATGGAAATGAGCCAGGATAGTGAAATAAAAGAAGGCCACACATGGACACAGCAACCTAATTACAGAGATCCCACCCTGTCAAGATAGTGTGGAAAGAGGCGGCAAGCTATAACCTACCTACACAAGAACAGCACATGCTCGTGGATAACAGGAGGAGTCAGGGGAAAACCGGGACAAAGTGAAACAATTAGATTAGGTGCTACGATTGCAGGTGATGGTTTTAAACCATGAGGAAGGAACTATGTGGGAAAGGAACTCACTTTATTGAGTGCCTATGTCAATAAACATCCAACCCTTGCTGGCATTTTACACCATCAAATTTCAGCCTCGTGCCAGCCCTTCCCCCCCAACACTGCAGCCCCACAACCCATACAATTCTGGCCTCAGCCCTCTGCTCTCAGCTTCTTTCCCATCTCTCCCTCCCTGATTAGCCATACCCCTATGTACGGCTACCCCCCCCAGCAGCCCCGACCTCTCCCGAGCTGGGGGCTCACTTTCCTGCCCATCTGCAGGACATGTGTACCCACATAGGGCCTGCACACTGGCGCCTCCCTTGCTGTCTACCTCTCACACCCACACCACCTCTGCCCTGCTGTGCACACAACGCCCTCCTCCCTCTCTCCATAGCAACGGCCCCCCATCCAAATCCTCTCCAGCTCTGAATGCTCAGGCTCCAGCCTCGCCTCCTCCATAAACCTTCTGACTGACTGGTTTAAATAGAAATCTACAGCGAGGCCTTCTCAAAGCTGGGGCCCAATCGTGCTGTAAATGCACACAATGAAAACTTCCAGAGAGAGGGGAAAGTGCCACGGACAATGAGGAGGGGACTGGTGCAGAGCAGTGGCTCTGGTCCAGCTGGGGCTCCTTGCTCACATACAGGAGATGTGAGTTCTCCCTGCTGCCCCTCTGTGGCCTTGATTACCCTCTCCAGCTCTCCTCCCATCCAAATCAAAACCCAAGCTTGAGTGCTGATTATAACTGCAAGTCAAGAAGCCACTCATGGGGCAGAAAAAGCTCAGAACCAGAAGACGTGGGCTGTGTTGCTGGCTCTGAGATACTTAGCTCTGTGACATTCTTCCTGTGCAAGCAGGGACATCTGACCAGTCCAGTGCACAGGGCTGTTTAGCAGACCAAATTCCAGCATGTAAGCTCCATAGAGAGGCTCTCCAAAATACGTAATGCCAAATGCAAATGCAGGGCTTTATTAGCAACTACCAAATAAACTAAGGTGCAAAGGACTGCAGGGCAGCTTGCTAATCGGAGTGATTTTCAAACAGGATCAGGGCTATGTGACCAAGTGAAGTAAAATTTTTAAAAAGTATGATGGGAGATGTCTTACATAAGATGAGCAGAATTTAGCCTTTTTCTAATATGTCAATTATAAATATACAATACTTTATATTTCATATAATAAGCACCCATAGCTGTAATTTGAAAAAGTTCCTCTTTAAAAAATAAGGTCCCCTTGGGCGCCTGGGTGGCTCAGTTGTTAAGCGTCTGCCTTCGGCTCAGGTCATGATCCCAG